CTTTGCCTTTACTCAAAAATGCGTACAAATAACACTTAATGTCAGCATTTGCGCTCCCATTTCAGTCCTATGCAAAGCATGCTGGGAACTAAAATCCACCCATGCCATTTCAGTGCAACAAAAATTATAGTCCCAACACAAACAAATTAAATTAAACTTAAAGTTTTACATATCTAAGTGGACTGAATACAATAAAATTGTGATAAAATGTTGAGCAATTGTGTTGCTTTAGCTCATTTTAATTAATCGGAACAATAAGCAAAAAATCTACATCCAATTTTGTCCTGGAAAAAAGAGAAAGGAGGTCATACACAAATGTAAAAAAGAACCAACCCAGAAGGCTAATGTTCTCTCAGCAATATCCTAGGGTTTATGTTTGTTTGTTTTTTCTTCATTAAAAAAGGGACATTGGGACTATTAACAGAACAGCTTTGCTCAGATTGTTTGTGGGTTTCTCTTTTTCTGAGTATTTTGTGTCACCTTGCATACTACTGCTTGCATGATAGCATCAAATCCACCCTCAGGGGCATCTCTGTTTCTGGACTCTTTCTGTTTCTTCACTTCCTCCGTGAACCGCTCTACCTGCTCCGTCAGAGACAGTACATTACGGTAGCCGAATTGAGGTGGGCAGGGTTTAGGAAACCTACACCAGTCAGAGCACAGCAGGGAGACAGGAATCACTTATAGGAATAACTTACTCACTCTATTTTGCATGTGCTTTTCTATTGTGAAATGAAGTTGAGCTTACTTATAACAAGGATTCCGGATGACTTCTTCAGGGTAAATGTGCATGTAAGTTGAGAGCGGTTTGTCTACAAAAGCTCCAAATCCCATGTGCAGATTACTGGTGATGACGACCCATATTATTAATTATATATACTGTATATATATTATTTTTGGAGTATGAATTAGATTTTTGCATTGTGACATATTTATATATATAAGAGAAAGTAGTGAATAGTAGTAAACTGTCAGTAAACACAAAGAGAGAATCATAGACAGATGTTTTTAATTGTGCACTAATTCATGTGTGCATGCTCCTGAATTTTTTATTTGGCCAATTATTGTATATAACCATCCAGCTCTGACACTGCAAAGCTGATTCACTGCTTGTACAATTTAATATTTTATGAAATACAGGTTAGCTCTGTGAATCTCTCTCTTTTCCTCTCTCTCTTTCCATCCTTCTACTTATCTCCATTTTTACAGTCCATTAAAAGAAGTGGAAATGGAGGAAGGGATAAGAGGGCAGTAAAAATCATATCTCAGCGTTGAGCAGGAGACAGAAGTCTGAGACAGTGCTCAGATCTCCTCTACAGAAATACAATGCTGTACGCCTTCCTCACACTTCCCCCTTCCTGTTTTCCTTGCTTCACCTTTGCTTGTTTAACAGTTGTAGATATTGCTTTATGTTTACAATGTATAATGTTGTGTAAAACTCGTTCTGTGGCCCTCATGATACTTGTATCAGTGTGTATGTTACGCCAAATGAATCAGAGAATAATTAAGCCTGATCTTTAAAATGCAAATGTTTAAAATGATCACTATACTAAAATTGTGTTTTATTTATATGGCTTTAGTCTGATTTGCTTACATCTCTTGTGAAAGGAACAGCGAGTCTGGCTTAGATGGTGAGATGCTTTTGCATGCAGCATAATTATTATTATTTTAAATAAGTTATGATCAAAGAATATTTTTTCTAATTTTTCTCATCAAAGCCGAGTGAATAAGCCTTGTTATTTGCTTTAGAGAGTGTTAAAAGGAAAAATTAGGCGACGTAATTATTACTTTTGACTCAGTCTAAACACAGCCCTTCTTTGAACATTTCGAAGTTGCATCATACTCCACAACTCGCTCAAGTGAAGGTCTTTTACTTTAATATAATGTGTAAAATACCTATTTTGTAACAGATTCATCGGTTACATGTAGCCTATACTTCTACCTCAGGAAAATAGACTATAATTTTGTAGAATCCTAAAAAAAAATATTCATTTCTTTTCTCTGACTTATAAAATTTAAACTGATTATTTTTATACTATCATGCTATTCTTTTCTAAAATCAGTTTTCTTAATGCTCATGTGTTCAATTCATAATTAAAAACGAAGAGAAAAAAGGATTCTCACAGATAAAATGCATCATTGAATAACAAAAACGTATTGAAGAAGATGCATGAAGAAGCAAATATGTAAGATATGCATTTAACCATATGAATGGCTACTTATGCAACCTTTTTTATGGATTTTTTTTTTTTTTAATTTTCCAGAATTGGTCGGTTATTTCAGTTCTGAATGTCTGACCTTTAAAGATAAATAAAAAAGTGCCCTGAAATGTTTTAAACAGCTTTATTCAATTCAGCATGCTGCACAACTTCAAGTTTGCAAGTCAATACATTTGACAAAATACTCCATGCAGCATTGAGGTCTTTACCTAGAAAGTGCCTGACACACCGAGCACCGCGCATTTATATTACATCCCTACTGTGTTATTCCTATGTATGTCTGCACTATGTTTGTACTTTCTTCTACACTGGAAGCTCCTGTCGTCAAGTCAAATTCCTTGTGTGTGTAAACATACTTGATAATAAAGCTCTTCTGATTCTGATTCTGATTCTGATTAAGGTTCTGTTTTAACAGTCTCTCAAGTGTGTTGAAACAAGCAAAACAGTAATCAAATGCAGGAAATAATAATAAAAAAAATGTTTGCAGCAGCAGCACACACACTCATTTTGACTCATTAACTAAAGATACAATAACAAAAGGCAAACTTACCCGCAGCTATGGAAATTCGGAGTAAAACTGGCACCCAAACTTCTAACAAATTCAGTCCCATTTTAATAGATCCAAACTACTGAAGGCCTCCTGCTGTAGCCGCTCTGTTTTCACTCTGATTCTCTGATGCACAACCTGGGAGTTTAAACTGCCATTCTGAGACATATATGGACACATGACCTAATGTATTTCAACATTTCACAAACGCAATCTCTTCATCAAGACGCAAGGAAATGTGTAACCACAGGCAAGTTAAAACTCAACAAATGAACACCGAATGACAGCTTGGGACTCTACATTTTACGTGCACATGCAGATAAAGGTGCAGTATGGAATTCAATAAGTTCTTTTATTCAACGGCTTCCACTGTTTTTATACAAGTCACTGCCTTACAAAGAATCATCAAAACAAATCGTTCTTTTTGGCACAACAGCCTATTAAATGTGGGACATTTATTATTATTATTATAACTTTTAACTTTATACATTTTTCTGTATTGCTTTATTGCATTTAAATGTTCAGTTATTTTTGTTATAAGAAAAATTGTATTAAACCTGTTATACTGTATTATGACAGCACTTTTTTAAACTAAATTTCAACATCGTGATAATACCGCATACCGTGATAAAAGCATTAGCAATTAATCGCAACATGAAAATTTGATACCGGCATATCCCTAGCATCAGGTGGAAATTTTACTCGTAGATTTGACTGAAAATCACATCCTTACATGATTTTAGCTCAAAACTTGTCAGATAAAGCAGTAAATAAAAGCATTAAAAAAAGTATAGTATGGTCAAGTATAATAAAATATGTAGAAGAGTAAAAGAGTAAAAACAGAATAAGAATTTGGCTGTATACTGTTTAAAAATGAAGTCACAGTGCAAAAAACTAATGCATACTCCAAAATTCTGAATGTCTGACCTTTAAAGATAAATAAACAAGTGCACTGAAATGTTTTAAACAGCTTTATTCAATTCAGCATGCTGCACAACTTCAAGTTTGCAAGTCAATACATTTGACAAAATACTCCATGCAGCATTGAGGTCTTTACCTAGAAAGTGCCTGACACACCGAGCACCGCGCATGCAGAGGGAGAGACGTCAGCCGGTGTGATCGGGGAAGGAGGCATTGAAAACGTGCAAGTGCGCCACCAGATGAGCATCTCCCCCCTCACGTGCTCTCGGCAACAAGTTAAACTTGAAGAAAAATACATTGTGACATCTTCAAAATCAAAACAATTCAAGCTGTAATTCAAGGTGCAAAAGTCACCGTTCACAAAACAACATGCTTTTGAACGTGATTGTCTAGTACAAAACAGGATGGTGGGATTGGGGAAGTCAGAATATTTCCAGTAATAAGGCTTGAACCCCCCTCCACCAAAAAAGGAGTCAAAAAATAAGATTGTTAGGATTTTAGTAAATGAACATTTTTATGCAAGCATATTTCAACAGGGTTTTCAGTAATAATAAATGTTAGACCGTTTTGTAATGTCGCTACATTTCGCTCACCAAAGGAAGTCACCATGACAAACACGTTGTGCTTTCCATTACGACCAATTTTGTGCGGGTCCGTCGAAAAAGTACACGTTTATCACTTGTTAAAAGTATTTTAGATAACCAACTTTTAGAATAGGTGCACCAAAGTAGGCTACAATTTTCGTTTCGCAAGACCAACCCCCTCCCTGGTAGCCTATAATTTGCAGACTTTAACAAACATAATGCAATAAATACATACTTTGATTTTGTTTTTGTTTTCTGAGGTAAAAACGTGTAAACACTTCACTGTAAAAAATCACAAGCAAAATTACCTCGAATACAAAAAGCTACGTAAACATGAATAAATACATTCTCATTTCGTAAACGTGCAGCTTTATATCTGTCATCTTTGCTTCAGTTCATGCACCTCGCCTTTTCTTTCCGGAACGCAAAGGGAGTGAAAATGTAAGTTGCATATCTTCGGCTTCCAGTCTGAGGACAACCGGGTGTCAACAGGTGACACCCGTGGCTAACTCAGTCCGATCATCACCGCCTCGACGTCTTTGGATGGTCTCCGGTCCTTGACCAGGAAGTTGATCATACTTTCAGACTTGATCATGAGGTTGCAACCGAGAAAGAAGATCCCGAACATCACGGTGAGTGAAAGAACGCACATAATGCAATAAATACATACTTTGATTTTGTTTTCTGAGGTAAAAACGTGTAAACCCTTCACTGTAAAAAATCACAAGCAAAATTACCTCGAATACAAAAAGCTACGTAAACATGAATAAATACATTCTCATTTCGTAAACGTGCAGCTTTATATCTGTCATCTTTGCTTCAGTTCATGCACCTCGCCTTTTCTTTCCGGAACGCAAAGGGAGTGAAAATGTAAGTTGCATATCTTCGGCTTCCAGTCTGAGGACAACCGGGTGTCAACAGGTGACACCCGTGGCTAACTCAGTCCGATCATCACCGCCTCGACGTCTTTGGATGGTCTCCGGTCCTTGACCAGGAAGTTGATCATACTTTCAGACTTGATCATGAGGTTGCAACCGAGAAAGAAGATCCCGAACATCACGGTGAGTGAAAGAACGCACAGCACCGCGATCTGCACCACGCGCGTAACGAACAGCTTGCGTTCGTCCTGAGCGAGAACTAAAGACCCGCCACCGTCGTTTGCGGTTACCTCGCTCCCGTTCCCCGTGCAGCAATCAACTAGTGTCCCGGCGAGCTCTTGACTGCGGTTGAGCAGAACGCCGTGCGTAAACACCGTGTGGTTAAAAAACGTTCCGTTCATCCTGAGCAGAGACGCAGAAATCTGAAGCTGACGACAATCGAGACTCTTATGGCATCAACTCACTTTCTGCAACTGCCTGTTGAGTAGAGTAAGATTCATGAGGAGAAAAAGTAATAAAAGTATCTCCTAAAATCATTTGATGGTTTATACCATCAATCTACACGCAAACTGGATAAAATAGTGCTTGATTCTGTTGCGTTCTCTCACAACTAGCAGTCAATAAGATGTCTTAACGAACACGATGAGCGCTCAAGGCATTTCTAAAGCAAATGATACTCAACTGAGACCTGCGCGCAGGTTTCGTGTGCGCTTGGGCTCCATGTGGAAGGGGGTGGGGGGCCGGGAGAGAGAGAGAGCGCGCGCCATCAACCTGGATGTCGCCACGGAGACCGTTCTCTGTCAGCAGAGCTCGAGAGGGTCTTCTAATCAATGGGATTTGATCCAGTGGTCAAACATGTCAACCCAAACCACCAGAAGCCCACGCCTTTCTATGATTCTTAAAGTAAAGTGCTTTTGGAAGACTTTCAAACTCAGCGACCCAGCGTTTATTCCAATGGACATCGCCTTTTGTAGCGTTTCTGAAGTGAAGCAAGTGCAAAAATGAAGCATGGCATTGAATGACATAATAAATTTGAAATAAAAGTTCCGATTTTTTAATTAACAGTTTATTAAACATTTAGACAAAACATTTTAAATTCTATTTTTTAAACAGTTTGCATATGTTTTTTTTTTGTGAGTATCATATACTTAATACATCCAGCTTTTATGGCTCATATTATCATACTACAGAAAGAAAGAAAAAACTTATTAAGAGGCCCAAACTGAGCAAACTTATGCACTTTGCTGATATTTAGATACAATATAGCAGACTACTTACATAAAATGCATAAAAATATCAGTTGTCACTATATTTCCCAATAATATGTCTTAGTCACTGTAAACCCAAATATTGTCTTTACTTAAATGAGCTTGACTAAACAGTTCTGCCTGGCAACAAGAGAACTAATGCACTGATTGGTAGATAATTACAAAAGGCGGGTCTCTCTTCATTTTGTGCATCTCTCAAGATTTCAGCATCTTCACTTACCAGTTTAACTTCATTTCATACTATTACATAATAATGTCCATACAAAAATTTCTTGTTGAGACTTAACAGTAAAAGTTTAGTAAAGTCTGATGTCACCGTGATAGAGATCAGTGTTTGCTTTAGTTGGGCTCTTGACCCTTGATTTCTTAAGCATTAATTTTTCTTTGGCTGCTTTGATTTTGTATATCTAAAACACATTTCTTAAAGCAATAAATACATGAAAAAAATTGTATCAGATAATATTTGTTATTTGTTGTTGATGATATAGTCAACATATAGTGATTTTATAAAGAGGCTAACCTACATTAGCTACAATGTATCTAAGTAAAACGAACAAGTGAACTTAATTATTTAAAGGTGCTGTATGTAAGTTTTTGACTCTACTAAGACAGCTTAAAATAGACAAAGGTTTAAATACGAATGCTGAGTTGGCTAATTTTCTCCTTGACAGGAAAGTAATTAGCTAAAGTTGGTTAACTAGTGTATCCTGGCTACTAGGGGCAAGGAAAAAAGTAAAAAAAATACTAACTCCAGAGTGTGGATTTGCAGAGAAGTGAGCTTATGTTTTCTGCCGGGCTTAACTGTCTATGTGTAATTTATGCATAATTCATTGAGGCAGTCTCGTTTGAGAAAATTAACCATTAGATTTCAAAGTAAGAAATAAATTATAGTATTTTACACCTCACAATGAATAACAGTCTACTTGATTACGTTTATTGATTTCTTAAGCATTAATTTTTCTTTGGCTGCTTTGATTTTGTATATCTAAAACACATTTCTTAAAGCAATAAATACATGAAAAAAATTGTATCAGATAATATTTGTTATTTGTTGTTGATGATATAGTCAACATATAGTGATTTTATAAAGAGGCTAACCTACATTAGCTACAATGTATCTAAGTAAAACGAACAAGTGAACTTAATTATTTAAAGGTGCTGTATGTAAGTTTTTGACTCTACTAAAGCATAAAAATACCATAATATGTTTGCAGATATTTAAGAAACATGCTAAGTTAACATATGCATAACGGGCTTAACTGTCTATGTGTAATTTTTGCATAATTCATTGAGGCAGTCTCGTTTGAAAAAATTTACCATTAGATTTCAAAGTAAGAAATAAATTATAGTATTTTACACCTCACAATGAATAACAGTCTACTTGATTACGTTTACAACTGGTCCGCCTCAATGTATGCGGCCGACAAATGCGACCTCTGGAGGACGCAGCAGCAGCCTCCGAAATGAGACGCAGATTCAGATTTATAAAAATACACATGAGGTGGTTTATAATTTGCAAACAATACAAATATTGCAAACGTACACATTAGCTGGTCTCTGTTTTGGTTTGTGAAACCCGCCCACTGTCAGTTTACCCAATTGTATTTCAGCACCCGGGGTTGCCAGTTGTCGCGAAACACAGCGTATTTCATTTCAGTCATGGAAGCTGGCAAACGAAAGGGGTCAGAGCGGGAAATAGAACTTTTTGCCCATCCTAAAAAGCCTCGACATCCATCCCAAAAACTTTATGATCAACAACGGTATAATAAAAGCAGAATAAATATTGGAGATGCGTTTGAGAGATGGAGACAGGTGTCGTCAGACAAAGGTTTCAAAACGAATGCTAAGTTGGCTAATTTTCTCCTTGACAGGTAATAACTAGCTAAAGTTGGTTAACTGATGTATCCTGGCTACTAGTAAGAATTCAACCACTCGGTGTCAATCCTACATACAGCACCTTTAAGTACAATATATGAACAACAAATCAAGTGAACCTAAACATTTAAGTGCAGTGTACAAGAGCACTAAGGTTTTTCAGCAGTTTTGATCATGTTGATAATTTAGATGCCTTAGAATTTCATGTAGTAAATGTGATACAATAGCCTTATAGGGTTAAAGTACTACAAAATAATACTAATAATACAGTTGTAAAGTAAAAGTGAAAACAATAGCATAACGAGTCTTACCGTTTAGTTAAATTTCTTACACGGTACCTACACTTCAAAATGATGTTCATTGTGATAGATGGTGGGTCTCAATTTATGTAAAAGAGCTATGCTGTCACTGTAAAAATATTTTGCTAGGTCACCTAAAACCTAGCTTCATCTATATTAACTGGTTTAATCAAGTCAAAATATAATGTAATATTGCAGAATATATTTACTTAACATTTAATATTTATTTAATATTAACCTTACGCCATCAAAAGCTATTTTAAGGGTCAAATCAAGCAGAAACAGCACCTGTCAGTTTTGTAGTGTACATCTTAAAGGGGTCATAGGACGCCCATTTTCCACAAGTTGATATGATTCTTTAGGGTCTTAATGAAAAGTCTGTAACATAGTTTGGTTAAAATTTCTCAATGGTAGTGTAAAAAACACCTTTTTTTACCCTGTCAAAAACAGCTCTTTTCAAATCAAGCCATTTTTGTAGCATTTTCCTTTAAATGTTAATGAGCTCTCCTGGCCCCGCCCCTCTCTTCCGAGCTGCTCTCACAGACTGTTTACTTTAGCTGTATTCATCGTGAAACTTGCTAATTAGCACATTATTAGGAAAGGCGATTTGCAAAGATTCATTACAAAACATTATACTCACTTCTTCTGTAGATGAGGCTGGATCATGAATGATTCGCGCGAACATAGACGCATATTTGTAGATCGGGGGCGCATTCCCTTCAGAAACAACTGTCAATCAAACTATTGTGGGAGGGGCCTGTCTGTGTGACGTCACACAGACAGGCATCTGAGATCGGCTCGATTTGAGAAAGGGGAAAACATTTAACCAGATTTATGTAAAAACACTGGGTGGATTTTTATCATTATAGGGTGGTTGTGTACACACACTGCCAACACACATTTCAGTTCAAACAACTTGTAAAAGTGCATGTAGCATCCTATGACCCCTTTAAAGGGATAATTCACCCAAAAAAATTATTTACTCACCCTCATGTCATTCAAAATATGTTTGACATTCTTTTTTTCTGCAGAAAACAAAAGAAGATATTTTGAAAAATGCTGTACACTCTTAAAAATAAAGGTGCTTCACGATGCCATAGAAGAACCTTTTTGTCTAAATGGTTCCATAAAGAACCTTTAACATCTGAAGAACCTTTCTGTTTCACAAAAGATTCTTTGTGGCGAAAGAAGGTTCTTCAGATTATAAAAAGGTAAGAAAGAGATGGTTCTTTAAAGAACCTTTGACTGAATGTTTTTTTGTGGAACAAAAAATGTCTCTTCTATGGCATCGCTTGAAGAACCTTTTGAAGCACCTTTATTTTTAAGAGTGTAGTATTCTTTTGGCCATACCCATATAAAATGGATATCAGTGAGGTCCATCACAACACTGGACAACACTGATTGAACTTTTTGTATAGATAAAGCAATTTTTTCAATGAATATAATTTATGGTTGCATTTAGAGGAGAAATAAAGCACGGTAGGACGAAATATAAAAAAAATATATTTTATTATTTTAAAAATATATATTTCAAACAGCCAGCTTGAACATAATTAGGGTCTGACTCTGAGCAGATGAAACTGACATCTGGTTTCCCAAGAGATAAGGCCAGTGCAGCTCCAAATATCACAAAAATTATGAAACAAACATTGATTTACAATAAGTACAGTATTCTCCAGTTAAACTGTGACAATAATTTGAAAAAGTGAGGACAGCGCATGAGATGCTGCCAGGCGAGTTGAGAGAGCGCAGGCGGTGGCTGGCAAATGTCACACTGACAGAGAAAACCGTGGGAGAGAAGAGACGGGGGATAAATTAAGAAACGAAGAAAGTGTCGATAGAGCAAACTTTTCTGCGAAAGTCGAGCTGTTCTGCACACACTATTGATTCTTCACTTTCTTTGCCAAAAAGAGAGAAAAAAGCCTATTTTAATTAATTGAGGCGCTGAAATATAATAACAGGATTATTCTACTTTCGAGCAAATGTCTGCTTTCTACCTGTCAGGCAGCCTGCCTGTAAAATAATGATTTGCTGGTTTAACAAATGTGTTTAATTAATTTGCACAAAGGTCACTTACAGACAGACTTTAATCCCCAAACCCTTCAGCATTATGATGTGGTCAAATTAGATTATTGTTTAGAATGCAATTAGCCCAGTTGTTGCTATAAATAAGACCGCAGTGCCACGTTTTCTGAGTACTCGTCTTGTGCTTTTCATCATTTATTGC